TAACTTCCGGGAGACCTGGTTTCTCAATTATTAAACAGAACCAATAATAGCTAGCTGCAAGATTGCTGTAAGAATTTACAAGCAAGGTACGTACAGCATCTTTCAAGTTAGCAAGCACTCAGTAGGCGCTCAATCTGACAGTTATTATACATCCACATCAACATTAACCACAGACTATACACAGACACATAGACACCCAAAACATACATTGCCTTTATATAACAGTTACCTTAAAACCATGCCAGATTTTGTGACCACAGAAAATATGGCTGTTTCTTCGTTAAGTCTTGGAACTTTCACGAGCAGGCATCTCAAAGGACTCATAACGGATGAATGGATGCCAAGAAAAGAGCTGGAAAAATGGCATCTTGCCCAGTTGAAATGAAATGCTAAAAATTTCTGCCCTGGCTACCTTTAACCCTGGATGGGGCTGAAAAATATTTACAAGGTTTGATTTGAAGGTGTCAAGGAGAGGAGGGTGACTTGAGGCCAATAGCACTCCTAGCGTGAGAGGAATGGAGGCACTCAAGTCAGCTTCCCATCATCCGAGGAAGGCTGGGTGCTGGGTAGGAAAATGTCCTAATAGGAAGTGATTCTTGCTCAATGTGCTAAGAGATAAAGAAAGGGCTCCCGTGTTGCCTCAGTGCCCCAGGCCGGTTTACAGACAGCAGCTCAAACACTAGCACCAGGAAGAAGGAGCTATCAGAGACCCCCCGCTATTGCTTCCTCCTGCAGGTTCGCTCTGCTGTTCTCAGTGAGCATGACTCTGGTAATGCTTTGTTAAATGATGCCAGTCCCGATTTTCTTCATGCCCCCAGTTCCAACAAGTAATGTCTCTGGATTCTGTGCCCCCTGGAGTGCTAGGTTTCCTCTTCCAAGTCAGCACTCATAGCTGAGTGCTTAGTTCAGCCAGTTTGATCTTTACAGACTTCATAGCCAAACATGCGCTGAAGTTTACCCTCTACACCCATCAGGGAAAGGCAGGCTCATATTGTAGTTGAAAATCTGCTCCTTTTAATTAATGTACTTTTAAAAACGGTCCATGGTGCTCTAGTGGAAAACATGTGCTGTGCTTAGTCATAAGGAGGGTTTTAAGATTGAAAATGGCTTCACTGTGAGTTTTGTAGGACAGATGGGGAGAGGAGTTTTTAGCTAAAGGAGAACAGAGTTGCCTTCTGAGTTGCAACTTCACCCAAAGGGAACCTTCAGCTTTGCACTTTCATGGTGGATTGGCAATTGCTCTGATATTCTCCCAGCTGCTTCCCCATTCTGTCTTCCTTTCCCTCCCCTCCTTTTAATGCTCCATCCAAACTCACACACTCACTCTCCTCTCTCCAGCCTTGCTTTTTTCTCCTCTGCCTTATCCCCAGGGAAATAACACAACAAGCAAGCTTATGGTTTTCAGACGCCAAATAATAAACTGCTTAGACAACAGGCCAAGGAAAAAAGAAAACCAAGTCTCCAAACTCAACTGACTCAATCCCCAAAAGAGATCTTTGCCCCTGCTTGATTCAAACACACACACACACACACACACACACACACACACACACACACAGACACACACGGTATAAAAACCAGGGCATTTCATTTAAAATGTTTACAGGTTAAGACACAGCAAAGGGGCAAACGTCACTCAAAAGCATCAACAAAGAAAGCAGATTTAGCCAATACCTCATCCCTAGGCTTCTTAGTTTGCAAATAGCTCATGGTCACCAGAAGTACCACAATCAAGAAGGGATTGAACAGAGAAAAGTTTCAGTGGGTCTCTAAGCACAGAAGAGGTCTTTATCCAAATGCCACCCAGAATTCCTGTCTGAGGGACAGAGTCTTTTGACTTCCGTGTGTTTAGGGAGAGCAGAGAAGAAATGACCACAGCTTGGGGGTTACTCAATAAAAAGGTTTCTGCTAATTCGACGCAGACAGTACAGTTTGGTTATTGAGTCCTTCTCAAACTCAGAGCGTTTGGAACCTATGTTTAGTGAAAGCAGCACTAGATGGGGTACTGACAGACACTTGTCACCTGCTGTGTCATTTTATTTGGATTTCTCAAATACCTTGTTGTTACTGATTTATAATTCAATTCTATTGGCCTTCAGTTTCTCTGTTAAATAAATATTAAAACTACGGCGCCCTATCGTTCACAGATTGGGATTAAGTGGGAAACATGCTCAACATCTGGTGTGTACCAGGAATTGGGCAAGGGCATTACAACCAACTTCCCAGCAACCCCATGTGTTTTTCAGGGGACCTTATTTCCAATATTCATATGAGGAAGCCAAAGTTCAGAGAGGTCAGGCAACTCTCCTGAGATCACACATCCCATCAGGAGGTAAAAGAGGTGGCCTATGGTCAAGATATAAATATTATTCTCCGTGCAAAACCCAACTCTACTAAAGATCATTAGCAACCAGGAATGACCGACTGCCAGTTCTGAGTTTTTTGAGAAAGAATTTTACGGCAGACTCCTCTGACTCTTCCAATTCACTTTTGTCTTTCAGACCCCTGCATCAGAGTTCCAATTCTCCTAAAATAAATAGACACTGGGAGGAAAGGGACAGCAGTCCAGTTGTGTGACTGAAGTAGGCCCACCAGCATGAAGGAGTCAGACCACGAGCCTGGCAAAATTGTGCCAAGGCAGTGACACAAAACAAAGGCAGACAGACTAGGCCAAGGGCAGGCAGGCAGGGAAGGCCTATTCCTTTCCCTTAGCAGCCAACCCATAAGCTGAAGCCACCCAGATGGTGGCAAAAATTCAGTCTTGGAACTTCTGAGGAGTCGACCAGCAGGTTAAGCATATATTCAATGGCCTCCCTGGATAAAGAAGAAAACGCTCAATATCTGCACCAAAAAGAATGAAGAAAGAAAAGGACTGTCTCTCACATGCATAGCTGGAGCAGAAGAGAAATCCAGAAATGTACTGATTCCAACTGGGACCCCACAGCTTTCTACATGTGATGTGCCAGCTGCCAAAACAGGATGCCTTCTTTAAGCCTGCCTGAGCCCCAGCTAGTTCTAAATGATTTTCATGATACCAGCCGGTCACTTTCAGTTCTGCAAAATACAGTAGTTTTGGATAATATGCTTTATTCTGTCAAGTCAATCGATAGGGAGGAAAGTTTCTTTGAGTGGGAATCATTTGAATATAACAGTACCAGAGATGGCATCTTTTTTGCTAGCAAAACCTCTCTGCAGGCAAATGGATGTGAACGTGTTGCCTTTTTCATAGACTATTATGTTTTTAGCAACAACACTGATGATGATAATGTCAAAATGGTAACAATGACAACAACAACGACAACAACAACAATAATAGCTAATATTTACCGAGTATTTACTGTGTGGCTGCCACAGTGCTTTTCAAAGGTCATCTCATTAAATCCTTGAACCTATCACCCTACCTACAGATTCCATTGCCCTCTCCACTTCACTGGCAGGAATGGGGAGCTTTAAGTATCTTCAGCTCTTTCTGACTACAGAGTCTGAGCCCTGGATAAAGATCATTTCATTCTGTCTAACCTCTAAGTTCCCTTCTCATTCCTTAAGCTTCCATAAATCCATCTTTCTTCCTGTATTTCTATTTTTTCCCTCACATTGCATGGGTAAATTTTTATAAACACGCCATTTCGAACAATGCTATTTTACTATTTCTGGCTGCCCCATGACTCTTTATAGACTGCGATGCCCGACGGAGCCAGTATGTTTTAATTTTCACATTAAAAACAGAATTCCCGAGGGGAAAGTGCAGTTGATGGAAAGGCAAAACCTTTACAAGCACTCAAGGAGGCATTAAAATCCAAATTTCCAAAATATGGTAATTACGTCAAAGTTGTGACTTACTCTGGAGCCCTTGGGGACACTCATCCTGACCCATCTGTGAAAGCCATCAGCAGGCAGTAAGCCTTCTGAGGAGTGGGATTATAGCAGCCAATTTGGCCTCTAGCAAATAGGTAAGGCTGCTTCATTTAGTCTAAGTCTTCACTGAGACGGTTTAAAACACTCTTTGGGAAGAGATGTGCAGGCAAAGCAAATCACAGCCTTACCAGCTGCAGATCCAGTACACGGCAGCCTATGTCTACATATTCATGGCACACTGGAGCCCTCCCCTGACTGTGCTCATACATGCATTGATATGGGAAGCAGAACTCTCTCACTGGGGAAATGATCTATGTGCCTAAGTTAGACAAGAGCCACATTCAGACCAGTGGTTGGCATCACATCTGGTACGGATAGCTAACCTCGGTGCAATTTGGCCAAGCCCGGATTATTTATGGTTCATAAAAGTCCCACTGGACCCCCGCATAGTCCAAGACCATGTAACAAAAAAACATGGGATTAAAAATCTGTCTTTCACCGCAAGACCTCCAGGGCAAATTAGTAATGCTATGATTGGTTTTCAAGAAGCCAAGAGTGAGGATAACTAACTATGAACACTCCTTCAAGAAATCCAGCATAGAGGGCAAACCAAATCATGTGTTTCAGCCAGGCTATGCAGTCGTATTCTGAAGCTCTGTCACCATTTTTATTCTGAAAGCAGTGTCTAAAATTAAACCTAAATAATTTGAGAGCCATTTCTTTACCTGGAAGTCTCAGCTAAGTCCTTGTTCCTCAGATCCCCTAATGGTTTCTGACATCATGTGCTGAAATGACAACTGTGTATAAACACAATCAGGTATTTGGTCTGTTATCCCCCTTCCCCATATTATTATTGTTTTTTGAAGAAAGATGCACTTTTAGACAAACACTGCTTCTTAAGTACCAAGGTTTAAGCGTTTCTTCAGGACTGCCTAGAGCTGTGACATAACACTTTGCAATCGAGCTTTCTAATAAGCATAGAAAAGGCAAAAGGGGTCGGAGGACTACCAAAAATTCTACCTGGCCAAGAAAATGAAGCCCCAATATCCTCCCCCAATGCAAAGTCCCTAGATCTGGCTTTCTAATCAACCTTAGAAAAATACACTGCTGTTTAATTTGTGAATTAGAGCAAATTTCTTACCCACCTCCAGGGAGGATGAAATGCCCAGTCTCCGAGGAAGCTTCTGCCAGACCCTTGGAGCTTGTCAATTGTCACAGTTCACTTTCTCCCTGGGTCTGACTTCTAAGAACGTAAGCAGGACCTCAGGCAGGCAAAGCATCGTCTCAAACCCCCTTTTCAGTCTGAACCCTTCCTATAGCTGGCAGCAGACTCTAGCCGAGCTACTCTGCATTCCCTCGGGGAAAACAGCACTGCTGGACCCAGACCCTGCTGGGGAATTCACCAAGCAGGGAAAAAAAAAGTCTGACTTCTACTCTTCCTCTGGACCAGCCTGAGTGCTCGGGTCGCCTTCCCGAGAACCCCCCGTTTCCTCTTAACTCCCCTTCTTCACGACAGTCTGAAGGAAGAAGTCACAGACCCCAGCCTCAGCGTCACCAGCTGATCCTGAGCCAGACCCGGGGCGACTAGTCAGCTGCTCGCAAAGCCCAAGCCACTGAACCAGGAAATGTGCTGCTCCGTCAAAAAATAATAATAACTGTCGGCGGCGCTGCTGGTGGTGCCTGAGAAGTCGCTGTTGCAGTGCTTGCATCCTCCGCATGCTAATGAAGCTGTGATGTCAGCAAGTCAGTCACGGCATCTGGACGTCCCTTCCCGCTGCCCAGCACTGAGATTTATTTACATGTAAATTAGCCTTGCCTTCCAAATCAATAATCCCCAAGCCAGGGAGAGGGGAAGAAAGCCTTTGCTGGATGCAGAGGCCCAGCTATGCAACGTCCAAATGAGCACGAAAAATATCACATATAAGAAGAGAGGCTTTAAAGACACATGTCTATTTTTTCCTTCTTAAAAGCTGTGCTCTTACGTGCCAGGGATCAAATCCGGGCACAATTATCAACCTGAGTGCCTGTTTCAGATTATATGCTGTGCTAACCTAGGAGTGGAATCAGAGCGCTTTTTAAATTAAAAGCTGTGTCGAGCCTTCAAATGCGTCTCTCTCTCTCTCTCTCTCTCTCTCTCTCTCTCTCTCTCTCCTCTCTCTTCGACTTTCACTTTGGGGTGTTGACTGTTTTTTTTGGCCTGAGACTATGTCACCTTTGAGTTTTTGTGCACCTTGAAATAAAGCACAAATGAACCCTTTCCTCACGTCCTTGGGTGGTGAGTTAGTCACCTGCCCTCTAACCCCTACCCCAAATCCAAGTGCATGCAGAAGAAGACAAAGCATAAACCTTCCCAGGGGCACTGAAGACCCTTAGACCCTCAGAGAGCGTTGCTTCCATCTCCTCATTTTACAGATAAGAAAATGGAGATGTAAGTGGAGAAAGGACTTTTCTAAAGTCACACGAGGATTTCAGCAAGGATGGGTCAGAACCCACATTTTCTAGACCTCAGATACAGTTTTTGTTGAATACCTTTGGGGTCTCCAATCTCCATTTTTTCTACACCACTAGGCAGCTCAACCAAGCAATCTGAAAGAAAGAAATCTATACATCTGGAGAGGCCTGGGTTGAAATCCTACCTTTCCTTCCTGCTAGCAATGTGATCTTAGGCAAGTAACTTAACTTGTAGGATCTTCAATAACCTCATCTGTACCATTAAATATTTACTGAGCACATACTCTATGCCATGCACAGCTCTAATGACTGAGTGGAAAAGTGTCTGCTTTCAAGGACCTTATGGGCTACTGCAACTAAAGAAAGTAAAATATTGAAGATTAACACAATGTCACATACCCAATAGCTATTTCTGATATTTTGAATGAACTCAGAAAAATTCACCGAGGCATTCCAACCACTAGGCTGATCACTGTTTCTATCATCTGAGTATTTCCATGGTCATCTTTAATTGTTTAAAATCAATATTCCTTCAATGCTACCTGAGCAGTATCCTGAGTCAGGTGAGAGGTAAGAGCCAGCCAATATTCTGGACTCTATGCCTGTGATAGGAAGCACTGCAGGTGAAAGTGAAGGGTGAGGGAAAGGTTGGGGAGGCTGGGAGGGAGGAATATTCCATCATACACGGAAGCGTCCCCAAGGACAAAGCAGCTAGCACGGCTCCTTGCCCACATTCCCCCGCCTGGGGAACCCACTCTGATGAGCTCTGCCCTTCCAGCTGGAGTTCCTGAAGCTTCAAATGAATTTCTTTGTTGGATGTAGGGAAGTTAAATTATGTCTTTTGTTGTATGTAATTGTATTAATAATGCTTAATAACTTCTTTCAGAATGCTTCTCTCTAGTTCCCAGAAGATCTTTCATGGTGAAAATCATGAGACCTAGAATAACTTCCCACTAAGAGAAACAGAATATAAGCAAATGAATAATATTCAGCCTTCGTTTCCATCACACAGAACTCAGAGCATGTGGGGAGGCAGATGGTTTCCCCAGACCTCAATATCCTTCAAAAAGTGCATTAAGAAATCTAAGAGTTTGGGGCCCCCAATGGCCAAGCGAAAGCAGTGACATTCTAACCCAGCGTAGCCACAAACAAGTCACTTCAACTTTCCATGCCTATTTCTTCCTCTAAAAATGGGTATACTACTCTCTCAGCTACTCATGATCAGCATGGTCATTTGAGAGGCAATTCACAAGTGATCAATGATGACACAAGAAGACAGCTGGAACACAGCAAGAGATTAATCTTCACCTGGAACAGATGAGACACATGACTACCAACTTCATAAGAATCAACAACATAATATGGAATCTAAATGGACTGCCTGGAGTCAGACTCTGGCTCTGACCCTTGCTAGCTCTATGACTTGAGGCCTGTGGTCCCTACCTATAACACAGGGCATAATGATAGTGCCTACCTTCGTGGGGCTGTTAGGGGATTCCAATGAGAATTAATGTGAAACATTTAACACTGAGCCTAGCACATAGCAAACACTCAATAAATGTTAGCTATTGGTAATATTAATAGAAGCAATCATGCTTCCACCATTAACTTCAACACAAATTAGTTAACTGACTAGTTAAAATTCAAAAGGTGGGTGAAAGCAGGAAAGGGAAGACTGCAACATCATCTTTACTCCTAGGGCACATCTCAAAGTTCCATCTAATGTGGGTGAGCCACCGATAAGCCATTTTCCACATGGTACAACACAAATGCTCCAAACTGCTTGAATCTAGGAAAGCAAGCAGTAAAAATGACCAAAAGGTGGGCCTCCTCTTCTGAAATTATACACCAGGACCAAACAACTATATTTTCTGGATGAATACAGGCTTCATCCATTCATTCATATATCCATTCACTCATTAAATGAGCTCCTACTCTTTGCCAGTCACTATGCTAGGGTCTGGGGACAACATGGTGACCAAGATACACATGGATCCTGCCTTAAAAGAGCTTGGCAAAGACAGAGAAAATAATTAAGTAGGCAATTAGAATAGAATGGGATGTGTGTTACAGTAGGGGGCACGCAGAGTCCTCAAAGGCCTAATTGCATTCAAGAGAGGGAAGGCACAAAAGCACACTGCCCGAGTCCCCCTGCCAGCACATGCTCTGTGAGCTCAGCTTGGTGATGAGAAAGCTGGATATCTACGCGTCACACTTACGCACAATATTAAAATTATAAAATCCACAGATCGTTAATTCCTTGCGATTATTATGTTCATTCTAATCAGGATTTTTAGAAAATATCCTGTTAGGTATTAGACAAGGTGAGACAAAAACTACTTTGGAAATTTCAGAGACCTGATAAATAGGAACAAAATTCATACTGTTTTTCTAAAACACAGTGAAATTTCACATTCATAACAGTAAACTTCGTGGTGGTAAGAGCAGGCAAAAACAGGCAATACGTGTGAGAAATTCAACCAAGTATTTATTAGGGATTTGTGAAGTGGAGGACACTTGTCAGGAGACAAGGATGCAACTGCTGACCTTCGGAACTTTCTATTTAGGTGGAACGATAAGAGAGTTACAAAAACGACTGTAATTGCATACAGTATACAGGAGAAAGGACAAAAAAGACAAAATTAATTGTGGCAGAGGGGAGCCAGAATCAAGAGAAGTATGATCTCGGTCAGGCCCACGGTCAAAAATGCTTTTGCTTTTTTTGGAATTAAAAAACAATTTGATAGCAGGGGGAAGGCCTCACTAAGCATGACACAAAATCCAGAGTACAAAAAAAATTTGACTAAGGTCACATTTTAGCTGCTAGAGAAGGTATTCCAGGGAAGAAGAAAAACATAAATAGGAAGGAAAATTATAAACACAAATGCAGAGTTAAAAGACATCTACATGGACACAAGACAGCAAAGCAGCACCAACATGACACTGGCAGGTAATAACAAAGAGGCAGCTTCATACATGCTGGAAAATCAGATTGTCTATCCATTCTAGCCAGCTTTCGGCAGGATCTTGTTAGAGGATTAAGGGGAAAGGTCAAGTGCATCTCTACTGGTCAGGTTACAGAAGGGAAGGGTAAGTGACAGCAAGGATGGTGGCCTCCTAGATGAAGGGCTATAATGAGGAAGGCTGCAAGAAACAAGTTTTGAATCTCTGTTTCTATGGGTGTAAAACAAGAAGGAAAACAAGGCCCTCCCAAAAAGGGTCCGAAATCTCTCTTTAGGTCATTTAAAATCTTCCTGGAACCTAAGGAAGATTTTTGAATACTGAGAAAAGAACTGACATGGGTCACTCAGGGAAATGACAGTGTTTCAGTTTTTGGAGAATTTTAAAAAGGTAGACATCACTCATCCTAGCTCATTTAGATTACTACCTTCTGGTCCTTCTATTGAGAAATTCTAATTGCTGTAAGGGATATTAACAAAGTTTCAAACCACTTATCTAATAAGGTTTATTTAAGTTTACTTTTTCAAATGTATACATTTGTATGTGTGCATGCTTTTAAATATTTTATTCAAGAGTAATCCAGACATTTAGATTTCAAAGTCCAATAAGGTAAATGTGGGAGAGGAGGTTGAAAAAGAATTGTCACGTCAGTCAGTCTAGCATAGATGATGATGGAGTAACATACGATCCTGAATGTCAATGGCTCACCACAAGAAAGTTTGATTTCTCTCTTTGGCAAAGTTGGTTGGAAGCCCAGAGGCTTTCCAGATACTCCATTCTAAGTAGTGACTCGGGGATCTACTCTGCTTCCTTCTTGTGCCTCTGTGATCTCAGCCAATAATTTCCCAGTTACCACAACACAGAAGAGAGAACTGAGGAGGCTTTTAGGCACCTCAGCTTAGGGATGAATGGTATCATTTCTAGTGGTCAAACTAGTCCCATGACTTCGCCCAGCGGCAAGGAGGCTGGGAACTGTATGCTCACAAAGAACAGCGAAAACAATGGAGAACTCCAGGAATGTCTGCCACAGATGTCCATTTTAATTTGTGCTATGTAAAGATATTAAACAAAACAAAATGCAATCTACTAAACCCTAATGTCTTTAAACAAAGAGATGCTTAAGATTTAAAAAACTGATAGTCCTAACTGAATATGAGAGATCAAAGTTGCATCTGTTTTTTCTTAGAAGGGAGAAAAAGAAAAATATTGCATATTTTAATTAACTTTCAAGCAACAACATGTAACCTGAGTAACCACAT